ATTACAAATGACTAAATTTTGATCCCTGAAATTCTTGGTTATACCAATGTTCACTTTGTCTGGTTTTGTTGCAGCATTTTCCAAATAATGTATAGAGTTGCAGATGAGAATGGTGGTGGTTATTTAGTAAAACAAAGATTTATATAAATTGAATAATTTAATAAATCAAATTTAATTCTATTCACCTATTCTATAACATTATCTGGTATTTTCCTGTGAGATTCTTAACAGCATATTCCACTGATTCCTTTTCTATAAAGGTCCATATAGCACCAATACTTTCTTGAAAATTTCTAATTGTCACTAAAGATACTGACTCAAGACTCTCAGGTACCATTTTTAGTAATCCTTGCCAAGAATAATCACGATTTTATTTTCTGCATTTCTTGGTTGATCTCTATATTGTCTTTTTCTTTTAGGAGGAGGTAATAAAAATAATAAAATATTCATTTATTGTCCAGAATGTTTCACGTGATAAAATGATTAACAAATAGGTAATGATCAGCATCCAAAATTTGAAAATATTAATTGGGGAAACGTGTACGAAGCAGGGGATTTACATATAAAAATTTGTGGCACATTTACTAATTGAAGAAAATAATCGACTGTGTTTGTGAAATAGTTATACAACATACAAAATTTATATCGCACCAAATTTTATGCAAAACAATAGAAAAACATGAAAATCAAAAAAAAATCTTTATTATATGTTAGAAAAAAAGAAAGTTATGTACGAAGTCGCCATTTGAAGGTTTCTGCTTTATATTTTATATATGAAATTAAGTATGTCGATCAATTTTCCCCTATAATAGTGTTAGAATTACTACATTTTCTACTCATTTCAATGGGAATACCAACTTCTTTCAAGGTTCTTTTTGCATTTTATAGTTTGGAGTTTTGGAACTTTGCTTTTATCAAACTGGCCTTCTTCTTCCACCATAACGTTCAACTCTTCCAACATAGTTTCAGCAGTGTATCTTCTTGTTCTATCTGCTTCTCCAGCTAAAAAGAAACCTTCCAACAAACTTGTAATTTGCACAGGCATATGATTACCACCACCTTTTTGTCCATATTTTTGGTTGCTTTTCAGTGTCCAACACTTGGGAAGTTCAAAGACCGATTCAAGTGGTTCATTACCAGCTAAAAATTCAGTAGATAAGTGAAGTTTATATTTTCAATCATATAAAAAATAAAATTATACTTGCATATTGGATCAATTGTTGATGAAACATTTTTTTTACTATCTATTGTCTGATCTAATAATAATTATTAAAAATATCTTATAGGTTTAGCAGTGTAAATGGAATACCATATAGTCCCGCCCCTACTTTAAAACAATTGAGCATCAATATAAAAAAAATGTTACACATATGTTTTGATGGTTGGTGTTTGCTGACATATGTGTAGGATTTCTATTTGTAATAAAAATTCTTATTCAAATCATTCGTAATACAGTTGACCTTTAATTCAAATTAAAAAAATTTACTTGAATTAAGGGTAGGGGGATCACATGATAAATCAATAGTAAATCATGGATCAAAAAAATTTTTTATTGGTTTCAATGTTGATCATCACAAAATGTCCAATAAGTTTTCCTATTACTATGATAATAATAA